TATACAATGATTTATAGCTTGTCTTTGTTGAATAATACAGAACATAAAGAGCTTTAAAAAATAATTGCATATTAAATCGCAATCGCAATATTGGTAAAAAAAATCGCAATTAGATTATTTTCCAAAATCGTTCAGCCCTAGAATAAATGACAGTTTCGTTTATCCACGGCTCCTTCGTTACTTCCGGCAGCGTATCGTGACAGAAGAGCCGACCTTCAAAAGAAAACTTTATTTGCGTTTTCCCCTTCGTTTGTTTTCTGTGTTTTCTACAGTGTTTGTTTTCTGTTTTTCTCTGTGTTCCCGATGGATCCCTTTGCCATCAAAGTTCACCTCCCTCGCCCACAAAAACCTTTCCCTATTGGAGTATGCAGTTGAGTTCAGCCAGCTTGCTGTTTTAACGGCATTCGACGACGCTGCGCTGAACTCACTGTTCTGGATCGGGGCAAATTACTATCATCCCGTCGACCTCCCAGACACCTCTGTACTGAGCTGGAGGGAAGCCATTATCCGGTGTCTGGAGAGCGTCTATCCCCGATCCAGAGCACAGCCAGACCCAGAGCCCAGCCCACCAATGACAGAGCGCTCGAGCCCGTTGCGACCAACGAGCCATCGCCAAGGAGTGCAACAGAGCTGAGGATCGCCACGGAGCCAGAGCCTCTCGGATCGTCAGACCAGGTGCGAGAGCCAGCTACAACGCCTGCCACGAGGGAGAAAGCCGCGGACAGTGAGAGCGCGGAGAGGAGCTCCACCCCCTGCCACGTGGCCGAGGGCGAGCTAATTACGGATCTGAGACTGTGCAACTTCGAAGGAGAGAGGGCTCCGGTTTCCACATCCAGCCCAGAGAGGGCTCCCGTTCCTGAGTTAAGCCCTGAAATCCCAGAGGCTATACGGCATCGTCACCGTGGCTGGAGAATCCCGTGACTTTGCCTCCAGCCTTTAAGCCCCAGACTCCGCCTTGGCCCGTCGACCCAGCGGCTCCACCATGGCTTCTAGCTCCCTCCTCTCCGTTGTGGTCCATCAGTCCACTGGCTCCGCCGGGCTCCATCTTCCCTCCGGCTCCGCCTCGGTCTGTCGTCGACCATCCTTCGCCTCAGGACTCCACTCCTCCTGCTGCGCCTCGTTCCTTTGTCCCTCCGGCTCTGTAAGGCTCCTCCATCCCTTCGGCTCCTCCTCAGTCCTCTGTCGCTCCGGCTCCACTGCGGCCTTCCGGATCGCCATCTGCTCCGCCTTGGCCCTCCGGATCCTCCCTGTTGCTCGGGCTCCTCTGCCATCTGCTCCGCCGTATTAGGTGGGTCCCCTGGAGTCATCATCCCTTCCTCCTCCATGGCTCCTCCCTCAGTCGGCTCCACTGTGAGTCATCATTATGGCTGTGGCCAGGGTCCCACCTGGCGCCGGATGCTCCAAGTCCCTCCTGTTTCCTCCCTGGCTCCTCCCTCCGTCTGATCCACCTTTGCTTCTCTTGTTTCCTCCTTGGCTCCTCCCTCCGTCGTCACCTCCCTGGACTCCTCCCAAGTTCCCAACCGTCCCTCCTTCTGTTGTTTCTTCGGCGCGAGGACGCACCTTTCTGGGAGGGGAGCGATATGTCAGGTCTACCAGTTGGGTACGTGTGTCTTCCTTCCCTCCCAAGTGTGGATTTACCCTGTGTGTTGGATTGAATAAATGACAGTTTCGTTTATCCACGGCTCCTTCGTTCCTTCCGGCAGCGTATCGTGACAACATCATGACAATCTCTTATTTACAGTCGTTTTTTTCACGTTGATGGATAAACTGTTTCTTTAGACCTTGAGATTTGGCATCATGGTATGGAGATAGATCAGTCTGTATATGATATCAGAGGTTGTTTTTGACCTTTCACATCCAGAATCTGACATGTTAGTAGTACATCATGATATACAAATCTTATGTTTTCAAAGGGGAATTCGATTGCTGATGCCAGTATGATAATTTATTATCCCCCCCTTTCAGTTTGATTTAGTTTTTGCTTTGAGTCACCACTCTGACTTGGGCAAAAAACATGTTTTGAATCGGATCCCCATATTAGTTTAAAATAGGAATGGAAAATAGTGTTTCGATATGCTTACAGCCACGGCCAGACACACACCCATTGTGCAAGATGTGATGTAGTCCCAGTTGTGGGCATTTATAGAAACTTCCTTTCATGGAATTCATCATGCTGTGATCTTACTCTATTTCTGGACCTTTCTTAATATTTTTAAATATTACTTATTGCACTACATGTCCTATAATGCTTCCAATAATTTTGTTCCAGGTTTCTTGTGCTTTATAAGCCATTCATCAACTGTTTGTTTAAAAAGATGTTGTTTTTCTTAAATGTACCATGTTAAATGGTATACACTGAGGTACCTTTTAATCATTTAGTACGATTACTGCACCATTTTTATTAGAGCCTGACCGATATATCGGTGTCGGCGAATATGCCGCCGATATGAACATTTTTTTACAGAACATATAACGCAGATAAAATGCTTGAAATGGTGTAATTACTTAGTTTGTCCAGCAGAGGCTCCATTGTTTGCTACTGGCGACTTGGATGAAACGCTTTAAAACTTAAGTCTATGGAAAACCATTGAAACTTTGAACGGCCATATCTCCGTAACGGCGCAGCGAATCCGCACCAAATTCGGGGGATCCCTTCAGCTCGAGGAACCCTCTTGAACGTGAATCGAGTGTACGTCTCGAGGCCCTCTTTCGAATGAGACCACCCCCACGTCGATAGCCCCTGGGGTTCGGGAGTTACGGGTGGTTAAATTTGCGGTCCTGCGCCGACCGATCCAGTGATCCCGGGGGGCTACTGACGCGTGGAGGGTGGCGTTCGAGAAGGCTCCTCAAGCTGAAGGGATCCCCCGAATTTGATGGAGCTCCGCCGGCACTTTCGCGAGATGGTGACACCAGCCAACACTTTCACTTCAGTAAGGAGGTCTCTTGTTCAGGCAGCAGCATTCAAGCGTGGTCTTATTCGACCGTAAGACTTCACATGATATTCCGCCATGATTCCAGATCGAAGGGAACGTACATGTTACATTCAAACATGTACACAAATCCGTGAATGAATGTTCCGAAGTGAAATAAACTTAAACGGAATAAAGTTGAATGGAATTGAATTGAATTAAACTTGAATAAACTTCAACTTTGCTGTTCAGTGCACAGATGTCAGACTCATTTTGGATAATAAAGTTTATTTTTAAATTGTTAAATGCCCTGCCTCTATCATTACATATCTTTGTCACGTCATTATAAGTGTTTTATCACCACATTTGAGTGATCACTGCAAAAAATGTGTTTATGTATATATATTCTGTTTATGTATATACTGTATTCTATATAGGCCTATAGTACCAGTCAAATGTTTGGACACACGAATGGGAATGTTAATGTGAATTCATATTGTTAAAAATTTAACTTGAATGGAAATACTTATTTGTATACACTACTGTTCAAAAGTTTGGGGTCAGTACGATTTAAAAAATGTTTTTGAAAGAAGACTCTTATGGTGTGTGCACACCAAGAGTGAAGCGAATATTCTCATTGTGTTATGTCTTTAGATTACTAACGGGATGTTTTTCGTGTCACTTGAATAAAAAATCACGTAATGCTCTCCTCCATTTTCTGATACAATCAGAAATGTCAATAAGCTCTTCACTGATTGGCTTGCGTGACGTGTCATTTTCCACTCGATTTTTCAGCTTTGCAAGTTTGCTGCAATTGCGTAACCCAATTTGCGTTTTTCGAATCACCTGACAGGAATTTGTGTCTGTTCTCTCCTTTGCATTGACTTTGTAAGTAATCTGCGAATAATTAAACTCACTTTTGGTGTGCGCACCATTATGCTTACCAGGGCTGGATTTATTTAATAAAATTTACAGTAAAAACAGGAATATTGTGAAATATTATTACAATTTAAAATATCTGTTTTATGTTTTAATGTAATTCATATGTAATTTATTCCTGTGATGGCAAAGCTAAATTCTGCATATATAACTCCAGTCTTCAGTGTCACACCTGTCACACACATTTGACCTCTTGTGTGCAGGTCCAGGCTCGCGGGGCGCTGCAGTATCTGGTGTCACTGTTAGCAAGTATGGGGCACAACGCCCATCACACACTACTGCTGGAAATCCACTGCCTGACCGATCGCTACACTTCCATCCTGGGTGGTGGAGGAAAAGACATCTACCGCATGAGCAACAGCTTCACCGCCATCGCTCGACTGCTGGGCTGCAAGCTGGAGGCTGACAGTACACTTAGCAGGTAGTCACACAATTTTCCCAGTTATGTCACTTGCTTAGATTTCCTAAATAGCCTTGATATGTTCCAATATTCATTCTTTAAACCACACGGGTGATTAGTTTTATTGAAGTAATTGACATTTTATTATGATGGAATAACTTCTGTTTAAAAGCTCCCTAATCCACAGGCCTTTGTCTGCCTGTCAACCTTAACCATTGCAAAATTCTTCAGCTAATCAGTGCTTTGGCAGTTTCATTGCTAAAAGTCCAATGAGGTAAAGATGTACTCCAGATAGAAACATTTTGTTTATTTCTCTGTTTCTAAGACTTCATTTTTCTCTCATAAGGAAAATAGGTTGCGTCGGAAAGATGACGAATAAAGAGAAATCTACTAAATGAAATACCTGGATAGTGTTTTTTTTTGTGTTTATTTATTGGTTTTATTTATTGTACAAATAATAGAAGGGACAGGATAGAACTGTCCGTTTTCTACTTTTATATTCTTTCTCCCTTTGTTCTCGCTTATCATCTTTCAAAATTGCTTTCCAAAATCTTTATTTCAACTTTTCTACATAGAAATTGTTTTTATGTTTGGAATAAACCATTATTATTACGTGGCAGTGACATTAGTTTTGTATTTTTGTTTATTGACAATAAACTGCATTCAAACTGCAGTTTAGACTGTAAAATAAGCCTAAATTAAGCTATTAACAGACCTGCCAACCTGTACGCATTTTGCGTAGCGTCTATGCATTTTGACCTCAAAGTACGCTGGTACGATTTGTCACTCTAAACTACGCAAAAATCTAGTGACGCCTCTGTCCATGAGCAGTATTCAAAACAAGCAACAGAAAAAGATGAAGAGTTCAACCAATCAGAGCGTTTTTATTTTTTTTGGTTTTGCATTTAAATAATTTCTGCGTTTTATTTCTCTCCTAGTAGCCTATAGTTTATAGTTTCAGTTCAAAGCGGCTCGCACTCGCCCCGTCAGATGCTCTGACAGAAAGGCTGCGTGTGAGGCTGACAGAGACGCGCTGTTTAATGTGTTTGAGATGTGCTGCTTTCCTTAATGCATAACTTACATTTCACAGGTATATTCTCCATCTGTAAATGTTAAAAAAGCCATGGAAATATTTCCATTTTGCTGTCAGAAGTGCATGAGCTTTTGCTTTGCGATTCTCCGCTAAACTCCACAGACTTCATTTAGAACGAGCGCCGCCGCGCACCAAACCGACAGAGCTCAATGATATAGGAGCGCAATAACTCTGACTAAAATATACATTCTGCTGAAATATTTGTAGTTGGACAATAAATGTGACATGTAGAATTTTAAACCTACAAGTAAGTGTATTTGTATGATAGCACTAACTGTAAAGTGTAATGGGGTAATCAAAATACCCTTTATACTCAATTAGTCTGTGCTTTTTATTATTTTCATTTTTAGTTTAGTAACTTTAACTTCTGCTTTAAAAGGATTATTTTTGTTTTTAGATTGCAATGTTACAATGTAATGTGATTTTAACCCTTTTTTGCACGTTTGTTTTTTTCTTTTTTAAATAGCATTAAAAAATAACTAAATAGCAAAAAGTAACTAAACATTTATGGTAAACGGTAAAAAACAGTAAACTGTTTACCCCCACTCCAAGT